AAATCATCAAAGCTTAAACAACAACTCTTGTGTGAGTTAAAGTTTAAATTGGAAAAGAGAGAGCATCATGATACCATCTCCTTTCATCAACTGCTATGCCCAGACCCCTCCTGTGAGGTGAGTAATAGAACAACTGCTGACATCAATCGGCTGCTGTTCCTGGAGGCCCTGGAAGATGCTACTCCCTTGGCTTCCACAGCCCCTGTGACTTCCTCATCGTTCACTCTCTCCCCTGACTCCTCAGCAGTCCCTCCAGGAGACCTAATATCAGCTTCTCTGCCTGAGCCTTCCCCACCACCTGCCTCCACCTTCTCACCTAACCCAGTGACCCCCTTGGCCGACTTTTTTCCACCCTCACCACCGGGTGGCTCTTTGCCACCAGAGTCTTTTCCTCCCTTGCATTCCGAATTCCCAAAGGACAGTTTCCCACCCCAGTCCCTTGCCTTTCCTCCAATCCCACCAAATGATGCTCAGACAGTGGATCCTGTTGTCCATCCAGAGGCCACTTTGTCTCTAAATACCATCTTCTGTCCGGACTCTGCCCTTTCCCAAGATGTCAACCCCTTACCGGAGTTGTCCCAGATGGTAAATCCCACTGAGACCTTTGCTTGTCATAATCCACCACCAACCCTGTCTGTTTCACCACCACCGGACTGCAGTTTAACTATGACTCAACCTAAATCGATTTCCATCTCAATGAAGCCTGTTCCAGAGATCTCATCTCCAGATAGCTCTGGTGGGTTGTCTACTTATGTCCCAACAATCACAGGCTTTAACCCCTCCAGATTGTCAATTTTAGACTTCCCTTCGTGGCAAACTCATGCCAAAGACTTCTTCCCTTCAACCTTGGCTCCATATGATTTCCATCAAGAGTTTCTGGCCCTCCATTCTTCAGAGGCTTCTTCCGGGGGAGACCCTGCAGCCAAGCTTGTGGAGCCTGCTAACCTCTCACTTCTCAGCCCCGATGGCTTGGCACTCCTAGAGGAACAAGTCCGAAAGAGGAGTGACTTCTGGATGTGGAAGGAAATGAAAAAGAGTTCTGTTCCAAAACAAACAATTGCCGAAAAACATGACTTGGAAGTTTCCCTTCCTTTCTGGAGCAGCAAAGATCAATCAAAGGAGCTGCATGTGCATCGGCAGCCCCCATATCCTACAACCACCTTGAAGGAGGGCCATTTACAGCAAACCCCTGTCCAGTTCTTCTGGGGTCTCCCAACTCTGCATAGTGAGTCCTTGTTCTCTGTTGCCCATGTCTTAGATAATTGTTCCTCCATCTTAATTTTTAACAGAGTCTCGAATGCCTCCACAGAGCAGGAATCCCCAGTAGTTCCCCATCCTCTTCCTCTGTCCTTGCCCCAACCCCAGCCCCTACCTATCCCTCAGGTCCAGCCCCAGGCCCACCTTCAGTCCCCACTCCCCATCCTGTCATCTGGTCCTCTAACCCAGGTTAAGGTCTGTGGAGTGTGTTTGCACAGACCTGAGATGGAATCAGAGTCTCTCATACCAACTGAAATGCAACATCTGGAATGGAACGTGTTGCAGAAGGAACAGGAAACTGTGTGGGGTTTACCCGCTGTTGTCCAAAGATCCCAGGAGGACTTCGGTCCTTCAGCTCCTAAACCTCTTAATCACCAGGCCTCCCAGGCCCGTGTTGCAATCTCTATCCTTCCTGGACAGTTTCCTCTCACCGATGAGCTTCGAACAAAACTAGAGCGTCACCTTCGAAAGAGGCTCATCCGACACCAGTGGGGCCTGTCCCGTAGGATCTGTAAGTCTCTATCACTGATGGGTCCGAGTATTTTTTCAGAGACACCTAACTTGCAGCGCTATCATGGACGCACATGGATCTCTAAGAGTGAGAGTAAATCGAGCGAATCTGAAAGCGATGAGGGGGACTCAGAAATGAGTCAGCTGGAGGACGATGACCTGGAGAAGGACAATGATGATCTGGAGAAGGATCAGCGACACAACCCAGAGAATGGCCCAAAAGATTATCTGTTGAGTGACCCAGAGAGCTCTTCAGGTAATGATACGGGGTATGATTCTGAAAAAGAACTTAGGAGACCATCAGAGAAAAACTCAACAGTGTCTGTGGCGACTATAGGTCAGAGACAACCTGAAAACGTCCTGAAAATTCATCTGAGCAAAAAGTGTGAGGAAATTAATGAGGGTCAGCTCCCCGGGCCTGTGCATAATTCATGGCATACTATGAAGCAGACGTCGCTTCTTTTTGAGAACTCCCACACTGAAATAAAACACAGAAGTTTGCCACCATCAGAGGTTCAGGACTACTCCCTGAATACCTTCCGGGAGCTTCCCTTTATTGAATCTAGTGCACAACAGATGCTGGAAGCCCATATTAAAAGGTTTCGTATGATGATGACAGGGGGCCTTCCCTCCAGGGTCCTTGAATCCATAGAGCTCTTTAAATTGATAAAGGACACTTCCCATTCTAGCTTTTCCTCCTCTACAAACCTGATTTCTGAACTAAATTCTAAACCTGGGGGCTTCAACTCCCTCAGAGGAAGCTCTAAATCTCTCCATGGAGACAAAGTGGGAACAGCAAATTCAGCCTCCATCCTGGATCGTCCTCTCCCTGCCGCCTCAACTGTGGGCAAGGAAGAACAGAGAAGTCTGAGGCAATCACCCTCTGATATCAACCATGAGTTTGCAGAGGATGTTCAGAAGATTAAGGTTGGCACACAGACTCTTACACCTGTCAAACATGACACCATAGGCAACAGATGGCCCCCAAAGCTGCCTGCAAGGCAAGCTGGGGCCGGACATGAGCCAAAGGATAAGAGTGCACATTCTAGAGGTAGAGGAGGAATGCAAGAGGGCAAAAAGAATCTAGAACCTGTCTTTGTGCCCACAGCATCCAGGGTGATATTCAGGGTCAAGGAACTTGATGCTCATCAATCACAATCTGATATCTTGACAACCAGCAAGCCAGTAAGCTCCCAAATCATAAAGGTGAATGTTAATAAAGCCAAAACTACCATCCCCATTAAAAGCCCCC